AAGATTTAAGTATAGAATTATTGAATGCTTACAATTTCAAGATGTTGACAGCAGAGCATCATGTCAAGTGCAGCTGACCGGAGTATGGCACTTTGCATAAACAGTGTGGGGCCACATCTGACCTCCTCCAACTTCAGTAGGGAGAAGGAGAATCCATCTCCCAAGATCACTTGCCACAAGACAGAGGTCCAATGTGGCTCTAACCCCTATCTTTCTTTTCATCTATGCTGACATCAACTCCTCCTCCCATGGAACTTTACATCTCTGCTGGGTTTGATAATATGTTGTAATGGCCACGTGGAACTCGAATATAGAACTAAAGGTTGTAGCGTTTTTTAGAGAAGTTAGATTTCAAGACCAGGAATGCTCGGGATACAGTTGTTCAGTTAGGACAGCCTCAACCATTGTGGCAGGTACACTTTCTCTGGTCTAGCTATACAACTCCTTGACCTCCTTTGGCAATGGCAAGGGTTACAAAGCTCACTTAGTAGTGTTGATAAGTATGCAGATGGTACCCTACTCTGCTTGAGTCCCTCTGCTCCAGGTTTTTGTTTTTAATAGATATCAAAGCTGTATTAGTGGTTAATAGGGTCAGAATAGAGAAAGTGGGGGGTGGAGGATAGGGGTTATGGAAAAACTACATTCATTGTGGAGTGATACACTTGCAAACAGATATTTGTGATTGCTGACAATAAGGCTTACACCTGTACATAACTGAACAGGCAAAAGTTGTGAGATATACAGGGGGCTTCAAAAATTTGGGAGAAACTTCCATTATTTTAAAATTTATTTGCAGTCATCACTGGGGCTATTTCTTGCTGCCGATTTGTTTGCTGGCCTGCTCTTCCACCTGCATGGTCAGGCGCAGGGCCTTGATGACACCTTGCAGGACTGAGAAGTGCTTGGTAAGCTCAGTGAGGGAAGATTCTGCTTTGTTCACAATGGTCTCCAGGTCCTAGTCAGTTGGCTTGGTCATCTCGGAGTGCTCAAGCCAGGTTGGCCTTTGCTTTGAGCTGAACAGGTGCAAGGAGTCTCAGGAAGAATGCACCTCTGGGCGCACCAACTCCACGGTGCTCAGGCTGCAGGAGCTTCTCCGGCACCACGCCCCGCGCACAGTCAGCTCCAGGTTTTTGAGTTAGCAAATATATCTCCTGCATTGTCTGGAGGCACCTCATTCTTTAATGCCCAAAGGCACTCAGTTCTACTGGCCGCATGGGCGAGGAAGACCACTGCTCTGTCAGGTGTTCTAGCTTTTGGTTCTGTCAGTCCTTGGATGTGATAGGTTTCTGTCCCTGAATAGAAGAGTTTTAGTGTACTGGGATCTTAGGGGAAAAAGACCACACTTCACTTCTGGCTCTTGTTTTGTTTTTGTTTTTTTGTAGCCTGATTCCTCTTTCTGCTTCTGAGATGGCTCATTAAAAACCCAGGAAGGCAAAACTGACTAATTGCTTTGTTAGACTTAAGTTTTTCTCAATCACAATTAACCTTTGTGATAATCCTTCACAACAGAATTATACAAGCTTATCAGTGTCTTCCCTCACCTTCTCTTACTCAAACCCATCAGGAAAAAGTAGTTTGGTGGGAGCTGTGAAGACTGTGGCTAGAAGAGCCATAGTAAACAATTCACTGCACTGCGGGGATGCTGTCTCTAAGCAAACTCAGTTCTGTTGAGCTGATTTCCAACTCATACTAATCCGGTAAGACAGATTAGAGTTACCCCTATGAGTTCCTAAGGCTGTAAACCTTATGGGAGTAGAAAGTCTCATCTTTCTTCCATGGAGTGGCTGGTGTTTTGAACTGATTGCCTTCTGTGTAGTAGCCCAACACATAGCCCACTACACCACCAGGGGTCTTTAGAGATGCTTTAGTGGACATTCTTTTTTTAATTAAATAAAATTCATTTACAAAGAAAACTTGATCATTTCTGTCCTAAACAACAACAAAATGTGTGCACTTACTGGTGTGTGGTGGTGATGATGTGTCTTACAACATAGGATAAATACCCAGGAAGGTGGGCCATCACTTTGGGGAGACTCTGAGTAAGGCGGGCGTGGTTGGGAGCTGTGGGTGTGACTGAGTCACTGATCTCACTAGGCAGTGATTTCCGCTCTGGCATATACACCTCTTCTTGTCGAAGCTCAGAGCCCCAGGAATCTGAAGGATCCCAGGCTGGCTTCCTTCCCCGAGCCACTGTAGGCACAGAGGATTGGAAGCTGCTCCGCTTTCTTTGTAGCAGTGAGTTTCACCAACAAGGAAAGTTGGTGATGGGTCTTGAGGAGGTGTGAAGAAGGTGCCTGCTCTTCTTGGGACTGCTCTTGCTGCTGGGTCTGTTCTAGGCCTGCATACCAGACTGTGCACCCAAGAAAAGTCCCTGAATGTGAGCCCTCTGACCCTACAAACTCAGCATCTGTTCAGATCGGTGCTGCAACAAGGAGCAGCTGAACTGTCTCAGGGAACTCTGTTGGTAGTGGTGGTGCCAACTTTGGGGAAGGTAGTACCGAGACCCCAACCCACCTGGGATGCTGAATCTGCTGCCTGTGTTCATCCCCCTACATTCGTGGGTCCCAACTCATAGCGACCCTGTAAAATAGAATAGAACTGCCTCTGGATTTCTGAGACTTTACTGGAGCAAAAAGCCTCACTTTTTTTCTGAAAAGGGACTGGTGATATCAGACTGCTGACCTGTGGTTAGCAGTCCAAAGGGTAATCCACGATGCCACCAGGCCTCCTATTGCACCTGGGACTTATGAGACTAGACAGGATTACTTCTACTGTCACCTTGCATTTGTTCTGGAGTGCTGCTGGTGGTCGAAGAGCTTTTTTATTCATTAGTGCAACTACTTTGTCCTGGAAGTACTTAGGAGCCTTAGGAGCGATTTTTTAAGAAGGCAAATGATCCTACTTCTCTCTGAATATTTACATTCAGATGTTTATGGATCGCAGCTTTGTCATCAACTGACTCCGTTTGGATGCAGCAGTCCGTGTCCTAGAACCATGTCCTTCACTTGTTTAGCTAGATGTAGCCTAGGGACCTTCAGCCCGGGGAGGAGGGTAACTGCTTAAGTACCTCCACTGATGAGTGCCCCACATGGCAGATGGGGAGTTGTGAGTGAGTTTACTTTATAAAATAAATTTTATGTCAGCCTGACTGAGAGAAGGAATAATAGGCATTACCACGGTTATATTTGTGAGGCATTGGCTAAATATGCAGATGGATTCTGATTGGTAAATAATAAGCCAATGTAAGTCTAGTATTTTTCTTTTCCATATCCTTATTTGCTAATGTAAAGAGGTGAAACTAGCCAGATAATGACATAAAAAGTGTCTAGTTTGGATTCCTTCAATAATATTTTTTGGCATTTGGGCAAGGTGATTGGCTTCTGGCCCCTGCTTACTGTTGCCAGGAGTGTCACCATGGAGCCGAGGAAGTGGGCCAGAGCCAGGGAAAGCCACAGTACCAAACAACGTGTCAGGAAGGAGCAATAATATGTTTTATATTCACATCTCGTTGAAGTGTTAGGCTTACCTTTGTAATCAGAAGAATGATCCCCCAAATTATCCACATGAGAAGCAGCTAGCACCTTAAGTGGAAATGAATGGCATCATTGGTTTTGTCCAAGAGATGAATTGATGAGAAGGAGGTTATTGAAAATGAGGTAGATTGCCTGAGTTGGCACATGAATTTTCTCATTTGGAGGATTGTTCTGTGGCTGTGGAGATGGAGGGATGTGCTTCTCCAGCTGTTTATCTGCCATCCTGCTTGGGATTGAATTTTGCATCAATTTAAAACAACATCTCTTGGCCTTTCACCCATCCTCATCTTCTGGAACTCTGCTTTCTTATGTTGGACCTCTCATTCTCTTTCATGGTACATTTTGGGTAATTTCCTCAGTTTTTTTTCTTTAAGCTCACCAATTCTCTGAACTTGATGGAATTATTAAACAAATGTGCTTCATTTATTGTTTTAACTGTTTCTTGAGTTTTACATTTTAAGATTTTTTATTTCTGAAAGTTAAGATTTCTTTTTCAAGTTCACACATGCTTTTGTGGGACACAATTTAGCCACAACAAATCATAAGGAAAGAAGAACAAGTATTATTATAATCATGTTGTTATTGCTAGGTATCATTGAGTCAGTTCCAATTCATTGTGACCCTGTGTATCACAGAATGCAACATTGCTCAGTCCTGTGACACCCTCACCATGATGCCCTTCTTAGTGACTGCTATCTTACCAAGCATGATGCCCTTCTTAGTGACTGGTCTTTCGTGGCAGCACATCCAAAGTACATGACATGAAGTCTCACCATCCTTGCCTCTAAGGAGCATTCTAGCTGTAATTCTCGGATAGATTTGTGCTTTGGGCAGTCCATGGTACTTTCACGATTTTTCACCAGCACCATAACTAAAATGCATCTTTGGTCTTTCTTATTCAGTGCCCAACTTTCACATGCATATGATAGCCTGGGTCAGGTGCGCATTAGTCCTCAAAGTAACATCCTTGCTTTTCAACACTTAAAAAAGATGTTTTGAAAAAAAGATGTTTTGTGCAGGAAACTTACCCAGTGTGCTGTGTCCCAAGGATTTTGGTATGTTGTGTTTCCATTCTCCTTTGATTCAGGTAATTTAAAATTTTTCATGTTTTATTTTCTTGTTAGTAATTTCTTAATCTTTAGCATTGCTATCTGAGATGATGTTTCATAGTATATATCATTGATTTTCTAATTATTGAGGCTTGCTTTATAGTCTCATGTATGTTCTATTTGGAGAATATTTCATGATCTATGGAAAAGAATGTATATTGTGCTGCTGTTGGGCTAAAGTGTTCTGTATAGGTCTATAAGATAAAGTTTATTCTGTTTAGATCTTCTCTATCTTTCTAGCTGTTCTGTCCCTTATTAAAAGTGATATATCAATGTCTTATGCATCATTATTGTGGAGGTGGCTGTTTCTTCAAGTTATTTAAATATTTGGGGGCACTTTCATTGTGAATGTGTGTTTATTTGCTTGAAACTAACTTATGTGTCACAAATAATTGAAGTCAGTTTCTATTGTACTTTTCCTCCTTTTGTAATCACTCAGACCTGTGTTTAGGTCTGATGAATAAAGAATCTGGGAGGTCTTCAAGGTGCTCACCGATTTCTTTCTCTCTCAAACAGTATTATTTAGAGCAATTTTAAGTTTACAGGAAAACAAACAAACCCTATCCAGAAAGTAAAGTTTTCATTTGCTCCCTTCCCTGCTGTAGATGCATTAGGGTGGTACATTTGTTACAATGAATGTTCCAAGATGGACACATAATTATTAACTGAAGTCCGTAACTTAGTCCGTAACTTATATTAAAGGCCACTCTTTGTGTTGTACAGGCCTAAGGCTTTTGAGAAATGCACAACTCATGTGTTCACCATTCCAGTATCATACCAAATCATCTCACTGCCCTAAACATGCTTATGCTCCACTTATTCTTCCTCCTCTGCTACCAAGTCACTTGCCATTTGTGCTAGAAGAGGCTAGATTTATGCTAGATTAAGCTTTCTTAACTTCTCCTGGAGGTGCATTTCTTTGGAACGAGACATAACCACTTGATGGTACCTGATGGAAGAGAAGAGACACTGGATGTGAGGAATGCAAGCAATGCCACAAGGAAGGCAAACAGTACAGACAGCTGAAGCTGTTAATTGAAGCAAATGGAGAAAGTAAAATGGGAAAGTTGCCAGAACGGGAAGCAAAGAAATGTAGAAGGAGCCAAAAGTGAGGAGAGAACTTGCTAACCTTGAAAAGAGGGAGCTAGGTACACAACTGGAGAACCACACGATATCTGGAGGCTTGGAGGTGCCATCTGCAAAGCTGGATCCCAAGATCCATTCAAGAAGGAATGAAACCTGTTACAATATCTTTAAAGGATCTGCACGTTTTAAAAAGAGATGTACCCTATCACAGGCTTGTCTGCGGAGAACCTGGTTTGTAACCATGCTGATTGTAAAAGATTCACAAGAGGACCACTATTTTTAAAACCATGTAATATAGGAGTGCAGCTTGGAGGAACACACATTTGAAAAGAAAAAGAAGAAAGAAGAAAAAGACCAGTTTGGTCAAGAACCCTTCCTGGATTGGAGACAGCAGTGGAGTGGGGTGAGGGCAGGGCAGGCAGGTAAAAGTCTCATACTCTCACTGGTGGTGACGTTACAACACAGAAACACTTGCCTTTTAAGCACTTAATGATCTCCAAAAGTCTGACCTAAACCATCTAGCTTAATCATATTTCTCGACTAAAAAAAAGTTTTATTGACCTTAATTCACATATCTTATCATTCAATTCTTCAATCATATTAGAAAGTTGTACCGTAATTACCACAATTTTAGAACATTTTCATTTTTCTTGTGCTCTCTGTCATTACCTACCCAGCTATACTCCCAAGAAAACATTAATCTAGTTACCATCTATAGATTTACCTATCCTGGATTTCATATGCAGAAAAATATGCAACAATAACAAAATAAAACAAAAACCTCAATGGAAAAGAAAGCAGGAAAAAATTAAAACTAGAACAAATTTAGAATGAGTCAAACAGAAGATCATATGATACAGTATTGTATTTTAACTAAACTATATCTGTAAGATCCATTTTCCAAGTACTCTGTGTTAGCAGGGCTATTCATATTCCTGGTCTGTGGTCAGATGGTATTCACAGAGGCTTAATCCATGTGTATTTCCCCTTCACTTTAAAAAAAATTGAAACACCTCTAAAATGGGTCAAAAAGGAGCTCAAATGCAAAGATATTACATTTTAACCTAAATACATCTACCATAAACAATTTACAATGCTCTCTGTCTGATTACCAGGCTATTCACATCCATTGACTGTGGTCAGAGGGGATTCACCTAACGCTTAATCTATGTGTGGACCCTATAAATGGAATTTGGGCATCCACCACTGCATCTCTCAATAAAATAATCACTGCCATCAAGTTGATTGATGCTGACTCATAGTGATTCTGTAGGACAGGGTAGAACTGGCCATCCAGTTTCCAAGACTAACTCTTTATGGGATTGGAAAGCCCTGTCTTTCCCCTGTGGAGAAGGCTGGTGGTTTCAATTCATAACTACTATGCCACCAGGGCATCTAGCAATGCATGCAGTTCATAGCGTCCGCAAACACTAGAGTATTTCAGCTTTAAGCCCCAGGGAGTATGTTGGTTCCATAAGTGTGTTAAAGGTAAATTTGAGGTAAAGCCCAGTTTACTTTTTCTGCATCGAATCTTTCTGGTATGGCCTATAAAGGATGGCATGCACTCCAAAAAGCCGACTAGTCTGTAGCACAAGGGGGACATGGGTCACCAAGGACTGAATAAAATCTCGGTCAAAGATGTCCACTTAAGAATATAGTGCCAGGCATATTCTCCCCTTGGGCTCTATTGTTAAGTGTTTTGTTTGTTTTCTGAGGAGAGGTAGCTCCTCTCAGTTTACCCACCAATAAAAATGTAATTGCCTTCTCTGAAACACATGGCTCCCTCCCTCTACATCCTGTGTTAATGTGGGTAGATAGCATATTTCTAGGTATTTGTCTATTTCTTCTAGATTATCAAACTTGTGGATATAGTCTTTCATAGTACTATATTATTGCTTTTATTTCATTTGAAATTACATTGATGTCACCTTGTTTATCTCTAATTCTAAATATTTGCTTCTCCTTCTTTTCCTTTGTTAAGTTTGCCACCAGTTTGTCAATTTTGTTAATCCTTTTAAGAAACTAATTTCTTGTTTTGTTGATTTTTTTCCATTGGCTTTTCTGTTTTCCAATTTGTTTACTTATGCTCTAATCTGTATGATTTCTTTTCTTCAGTTTGAGCATTTATATTGTCCATGTTCTAGTTTTTGGAGGTGTTGTTTTTGGGATCTCCTCTTTTTTCATGAATGTTGATAGCTATAAATTGCCCTCTGATAACTGTTTTTGCTATGTCCCAATGGTTCAGGTACGATATGTTATCATTTTTTTTGTTTATTTATTTCAAGGACTTTTAAAAAATTACGCTTTAGTTGATCTATTAATGAGCCATTTTTAAGTTGTGTGTTATTCTGCCTCTATGTGTTTGTCTTTCTGTTCTTCCTATTGTTAATTTTTAAATAATTTTATAGTAGCGTGATGGGGGGGATTGGATTTTAGGGTCTCACTGTTTTTGAATTTGTTGAGGCTTGCTTTATGTTCTTACATGTGATTTATTCTAGAGAATGTACTGTGTGTGCTGCAAGAAAATGTTTTCTGTGTTGTTGGGTGGAGTGCTCTGTATATGTTTAGGAAATTGAGCTGGTTGATTTTAGTTCTTCAAGTTTCTTTCTTTCTTTTAAATCATTTTATTGGGGGCTTGTACAACTCTTATCACATGCTATACATCCATCTATTTTGTCAAGCACATTTGTACATTTGTTTCCATCATCATTTTCAAAACATTTTCTTTCTACTTGAGCTCTTGCTATCATTTCCTCATTTTTCACCCCTCCCTCTGTCCCTCACAAACCCTTGATAACTTGTAAGTTATTATTATTTTTTCATGTCTTACACTGACTGATGTCTCCCTTCACCCACTTTTCTGTTGTCCAGCCCCCAGGGAGGGGGTTATATTGTAGGTCATTGCGATCAGCTCTCCCTTTCTTCCCCCATCTTTCCCTTACCCTCCTGGTATCGTTACTCTCAATATTGGTCCTGAGTGGTTTATCTGTCCTGGGTTCCCTGTGTTTCCAGCTCTTATCTGTACCAGTGTGCATACTCTGGGCTAGCCAGATTTGTAGTTTACTTTATTGAGTTTCTTTCCTGATTATCTGTGTTTCCTTGAGATCAGGGTGTTGAAATCTCTTATTATTATTATTGTCAAGCTGTTTATTTTTGTTTTCATTTACTTATCTAATATACAAATAAGTGTTTATTATTACCATGAGTGGATAACAGGTTTTGAAATCTGGGCATGAAAGCCCTCCTACTTTGTTTTTTCATAGTGTTTTTTTTTAAAATCCTGGGTTTCTTTCCTTCCATATAAAGTTGGTGATTAGTTTTTCTACTTCTGTGTATAATTGTGCTGATACTTGGATTGGAATTGCAAAGACTACTTTAAATAATATTGATATTTTCACTATATTAAGTTTTCCTATCCATGATCATGAGACATTCTTCCATTTGTGTACGTCTCTTTTGGTTTCTTGTAGAATTATTTTATAGTTTTGTTTGTGTAAGTATTGTTTTTCTCTGATTAGGTTTATTCCTAAGTAATTTATCTTCCAGGTAGTTATTGTAAGTGGTATTGTTCCTTTAATTTTCTTTTTGGACCTCTTTGTTATAACAAGAATGCAATTGATTTTTATATTTGATCTTATAGCCTGCTACATTGCCAAATTTTTCTGTTAGTTAAAGCAGTTTTATTGAATATTTGGTGTTTTGTTTTTTTTTTATATATAGGATTAAGGCATCCACAAATAGAGTTTTGTTTCTTCTTTGCCAATTTGGATGCCTTTAGTATCTTCTTAATGTCTTGTAACTCTGGCTAGAACTTCCATGACTATATTCAATAAGAATAATGATAAAGAGCAACCCTGCCTGGTTCCTGTTGGGATTGGGAAGAGGAATGTTTTTAATTTATCTAAATTAAGTGAGATGCTAGCCATTCCTTTTGGATATATGACCTTTATTATGTTGAGGAATTTCCCTTCCATTCATATTTTATTAAGTGTTTTTTACCAAGAGCAGATGCTGATTTTAATCAAACGCCTTTCTGCATCACTTGATATATCACATGGCTCCTTTACTTTATTTTGTTTATGTAGTGGATTGCATTGATTGTTCTACTAATATTGAACCACTTTTACAAACCTAGTATGAGTTCCATTGATCATGATGTATATATTTATTTTTAAAAGTTTCATTGAATTCTATTGGTTATAATTTTGTTGAAAATGTGTCATCTATAAGTGATATTGTTCTATAATCTTCAGTTCTAGTAATGTCTTTGGCTTAGGTACCTGGGTTATACTTGATTCATAAAATTAGTTTGGTAATATAATAATATATTTGGTAATATAATATATTCATAAAGTGAGTTTGGTAATAACTGAAATAGTTCATGTAAGATTG